TTCGTCACAGCATACGCGATGTCTGGTCGGGTTACACGGGCCAGGAAGAGAAGTGAGCCGATCAGTTCCTGATATGGGTATGCAGTGTCACAATTTTCAGCTTTCACCAAATCCAAATTCTGCTTCATTGGGACGGACGCAGTCCTGCGCTCGGTTATGTCGTACTTTTCCAGTAGAGCCTCAGTGTACTGGTGTTGGGCTAGTGTCATCGTCCCACCCTCAATGGTGATTTCAATTCCGACGAACACCTCCAAATCTTTTCGTGTGATCTCGAACGCCTTTTTCATGGCGTCCACAACAAACGCAATTGCTAGCTCGCTCTTTGATGTCACAATTCCATCGTCCACGTACAGAACGACGATAACTATGAATCCAAAAATGACACCGATGAACACGCAAGGGTCGCTGTGTGTAGGAAACAACCCAATGCTTTTCAGGAAATCTGAGAAGGTCCTATTCCAGCATCGTGAGCTTTGCTTCAATCCATACAGGCTCTTGAGAAGTAGACACACCAGATCATCCCCGTCTATTTCGAATCCCTCTGGCTGCGACATGAAAATCTCTTCATCAAGGACGCCATTTAAGTACGCTGTCTTCACGTCGAATTGTTTGTATTTCCACCCATCTGCTGCTGTGAAAGCCAGAATGAAACGGATGGATTCAAAACGAGCCACCGTTGAGAAAGTTTCCTGGTAGTCAACCCCAAACTGCTGTCGGTATCCGCGCACGACGAGACGAGCCTTGAATCGTTCAATCTCGCCATTCATATTTTTCTTGATACTGAAGACCCACTTTGGTTCCAGAACTTTGGCGTGACGAGGTCTCGGTACGTATTTCCAAGTACGATTCCCCTCCAGGCTGCGCATCTCCGTTTTCATCGCTTCCATCCATTTTTCTCCCTCAGGCTGAGAAATAGCATCTTCATAATTCCTTGGAATTGTAGGAGATGAAGCCACGAACGATTGGTACTTTTTAGGAGGTTTGATCATGTCCTTTGACCTCAGTTTCCTGGAGGGGATCTCAATCTTCTTCTTGTCTGGGTCGTACTCATAGTTCCCCTCTGGAGTTTCGACCAGAATTGTCGTCTCCCCCTCATCATCTGCATCCATGAAAACCTCTTCCTCATCTGGTTTTGTGGTATGAGATGAAGTGGACTGGGATGATGCATCATGAATCTTCTCTTGCTGCTCCTCCTGCTGTTGCTGCTGCTCATTTTCATGTTTCGCATCATCCTCCTCTACCTCGTAACTGGTTCGGACTCCTCCGTCCTCAAGGAAGGATACATTCCTGGCTGGAACAACTTTCCTTTTCTCCGGAATGTAGACTTTAAATTTGCGTCCGAAGGTCCCATACCCCACTAGCTTGCCTATTCTTGCCTTCGGATCCGACGGGTCTCTGTCCTCCTCCGGAATTTGGGCGTAAGCTGTGCATCCAAATGTACGGACATGGCTCAGGTCTGGAGGCCACCCAAAAACTTGCTCAAAGGGTGTGCAGTTGGGTGAGTTCCGGTTTGGGAGACGGTTGAGTATGTACACGGCGAACCCCACGGCTTCCTCCCACATGCCCGGAGACTGTCCTGCCTTTATGATCATCGTTTTGCTTGCTTCCTTCACGGTCCTCATGTCCCGTTCAATTAGCCCATTGGTCTCGGGACAGCGAGGTGCGGATGTTTGATGCAGGATTCCTTGGTCACGGAAATAATCTTGCAATTCTCTGCACATAAATTCTCCCCCATTGTCGGATTTGAAAATCTTAATGTTCTTGCTGGTCTGGTTTTTGAACATTTTCAAAAAGTTGATGATGTTGGCAGCAGCATCACTCTTCTTTTTCAAGAAACATACCTGCCGGAAACCGGTCTTCTCATCCTTGAGGAGAAGAAAGTAATTTGACCCCTGTAGAGACGTGGTGGAGTCCTTGCCCGACAGATCGGCGTGGATAACATCCCCCGGCTGCAGGTTCTTATTCTTCTCCCTCTCTGGAAAAGGCTGTCGTGTCTCTTTCCCCAGATGACAATCCGAGCAGTGAAAGTCCGACGCAAGATCTTCCATCTTGATCCCCTCAACTGCCCCAACTTTCACTGCATTTTTGATGTAGCCCATATTGACATGGGCCAATCGCTCATGCCACAATTTCGTCTTGTTGATGGTGGCTGAGTATGCAGAGTTTTTCGGGACGCGGAAACCCATTACATAATTTCCATTTAGCCACCAAGCTTGAGGTCCTTGTTGCCCCTTGAAATAGTAAGTGGTCTTCCCGTTTTCTTTCACGATTTTGAACCCCTTCTGGTCCATGATCCCCTCGCTAAAGAGGTTCACGGCACCAGGAATATAGTGGGCGTTGTGGATAGATATGGGATACCACTCCCCCTGCACCCAAGCTTCCACTTGTACGGTCCCCTTCCCCAGTGCCCGGATGGAGGAGTTGTCCGTGATGCTGACAGGAATGGGATTCTTGAACTCTTTGTAGTCCGTCAGCCAATCCTTTCTTCCAGTGATATGGAACGAGGCCCCGCTGTCACTAATCCATCGGGTGCTCCCCTCTTCCATCTCATGCCCCCCCAGGAACGCTTGGCAATCCCCAGGACCCTCATTCTGCTTTTTGTTGTTTTTACGGTTCTGCTTGCGGTTGGAGTTGTTGTTATTGTTGTTGTTGTTGCACTTAGCCTCATCACCCTCTTCCCTTTTGGGTTTACGGCATTCCCTCGCCCAATGTCCCTCTATACCGCAGTTCCGGCACGCCCCTTCTCGTTTCTTCTTCTGGGGTTGCTGCTGTTGTTGCTGCTGGTTGGATTTTCCTTTTTGGAATTTTTTGTTACCATTTTGGGCGTTGAAGGCGATGTTGAACTGCTGCTGCTCCTCCCCGCCTTCACCGTTGGCCTTAAATGACAGTTCCTCATTTTTGATTCTTGCAATGAGATTTGCCATGGTCTGACTTGCGGCGTCAACGCTGCCCCAGGCCCTTTTAAACGCGTGAAACTTCGACTCGGGAAGAGACGATACAGCCTTGATGACCAATGCTTGTGCAGTCACCGGATTCCCCATCTCTTTAAGAGCTCTCGCCAGCTCCTCCAGTTCACCGCAGGCTTCCACCGCAGACCGATCTTCAGAAATCTTAAAATTGTAGAACCTGGTGAGCGTCCGCTGCACGTTCAGAATGCTTGCATCGGAATTTACTTCCGCAATCTTTTCCCAGGTAGTTTTTGCTGAGTCGCATGCATAGATATGCGCCATCTGACCTTGCTCAAGTAGCTGAACAATGAGCGAGCGAGCTCCCACGTCGTTCTCGTCCCACTTGTCCACGTCTGTTTGGTTGCTCCCATCGGTCTTGAGGGTTGGCTTCTTCTTCGTACCATCTATGTACCCCCAAACGCCCCCAGCCTGCAACGCCAAGGTGACCTGTAGCTTCCAAGGCTGGTAGTTATCCCCGTTCAACTTGGGAATATGAGACGTCTCAACTTTCTTCATGATGATGACTCTCTTCCACGCTACCACTCGAATCTTGATTACGTATCTAGTTACACACCACTGCTGCAACTTCACACTGTGTAAACTACTGTGTACTGTGTAAACTGTGTAAGTATGGAGCTGTGTAATTTGACGATTATTATTTCACTACTCGAAGTAAGAATAAACGCGACGTTTTCGCGAAACTTGACGACTTTATCCTTAAACGCGAGTCTGGACAAACCAGTTTTGACGACAACGAGAAGGAGTCTCAGAAGAGTCTCAACTTTCCCGAAAAGTGAGAAGGATTAGCTAAAAGCTTTTACCTGGCTAATGCCCTCTGTTAGAGCATACCCAACCTCTCACTCTGTCTCAAAACGTAAAACTTGAGATAACTCGAAAATCTCAACTTGCCTCTTGTGCGATCGAAAACCACGATTAAGATACCATGTGGTAAATAATGAACAACGATACAACACGACGGTTGCCAATCGACTGATCATTTATTGTCAACATGCAACATGATTATATAGACATCATGAGTAATAGAATATGTATTAATAAATGTATGAAACTGTTCCTCACGACACTTTCCAAAGTGTCTGACCTAAATAGAAAGGAAGTGCTAAATCCTTCTCCCAAGAATGGGAATGCTAAGAATGAGCTGACACTGTACAAAGGTCCAATAAAGTCGGTGCCATAAACATCCGTTATGAAAGGCTACTTGAAATAGCTAACCTAAATACCTAATATTAGATCATTTTATCCAACAGTTACTATGTACTTTTCAGTTATCTTGGAGATTTTATAAGATTTTTTTACAATCATCGTCAAATCATCTCGTTCTAAAAAAATTGGGGTAGAAAGACCCAATAAGAAACGAGAAGAAAGTAGTACATACTTTTCAGTATTTATTTTAGTCCTGGATTTCGCAAGATTTTTTTCCAATGTGAAATCATCTCGTTGTAAAAAAACAATTGTTTTGCCGCAGGAAAAACGGCAATGCCGTTTCTTTATGGCATTTACCACACAGGTTTTGTTTTTTTTCAGGAAAAACAACCTGTTATAAATAAATCTGACCATTAATAAATTGCTATGGATCATAGACCAGATTGAATTACAAGATTTCTTCTAATGTGAAATCATCTCGTTGTAAAAGAAAAACCAAGTGCGGTTTCCTTGGAAACACAACTTGTTATAAATAAATCTAGAGGTTAATACACTACGACGGATCATAGACCAGCAGATTGAATTACACGATTTGATCCATACGTCTTGATTACTTACATGCACTAAAAATAAATAACAACTTCTTATCCAACGTTAAATGGACCGAATACATATGATTCATACCTTCCCATAAAACTAAAGGGGTAGGAAAATTCCTATCATAAATCGATTTCAAATTGATCAATTCCCCAAAGTGCTTTTAGATCCGGATTTTTACTTGACCCTCCATAAATCACAGCTACACGCGCTTCACTCTAACCTTCCCACGAAAATATTACCCTTAAAAATATCATAAAAAAATGAAATGGCTTTCCTATGTTTGTTTAGATAACAATGCGCCACGTGACGGATGAACAGAAGCAGAAGGGACAAAAATATTAAATTCCTCGCCACATCAATTGACTCCGAGATACCGCATCACTTCCTCCCAGGCGATATATTTCGCCGCGCAAAATGAAGAATAAATACAAAAGTGGGTGAAAAGCCAAGCCAAGAGAGATAACTTTCACTCCAAAAAGGAAAAAAAAGATTGCCTGGCACCACTTTCTCCCATTGTGCTTTCACTCTCTGACCCTTCGCCCACGGCTTAGTTGACTCTTCATACATCCCACTTACTTATTTGGCGTCCTCCTACAAGAACAACACGAATACTTATCGAGAAAAAGAGCAGCCAGCCAAACGTCAATCAATCACTGACTCGCGAGTAAAGTGAAAGCTTTGACACACTTAAAGACAAAGACCTTTCACTTGTCATCCTAAGAATAAAAAGATGTCAAACGAGATAATAGTCTCAACTCGGCACTAGTACCGACACCATTTTACGTAACACTTTATCCTCCTGTGCCCTGTTTTAAATTCGCCTTCAAAAAGTTCCGAGGCCGATCCTGCTACAATCCAAACCACTCAAAAGACTTAGACGGAGAGAGGATTATTAAAAATTCTCGACTTGTCGTCGCATCCCCCGCTTGGGTGTTTTATCTGTTGACCTTATAAAAGAGAAGTGAAGGTGTGCAGAAAATACTGATTTGTGAGTAAATCAAGGTCGGATTTTAGCCTGATACCAAATAAAAACTTGAAGGGAGTGAAAGTTGTCAAGTTTTTAAAGAATCGATTTCTTCATTTTTTGATCTGTTGACCTTAGAAAAAAGTGGAGGTGTGGAGAAAATACTGATTTTTATAAGTAAGTAAATAGCAGATGGATTTTTGTGTGAAAAAATCAGAGTGAAAGTTGTCAAGTTTTTTGAGGATTCGATCCATTCTTCGTCAGCGTTTTCATCCCAGAGAAAATTGAGACTTTATTAAAGACACTTTAAACCAGAGAAAGTAGTGTTCTTTGAGTGAAAGCAATTAAAGCAAGATTTCGACACCGCTGTCGACACAAATCCTACCCTGAAACAGAAAGATCATTATCTATTGTGTGATTATAAATAATTAGTGCTTTTCTCTTCCTTCAACATCATTATATTTCATCATTGATTTATCTATCACTGCTTTATTACTACGCAGTGAAAGTGAGTGAAAGTTGGTGTTTGTACTGATATTGTTTTATGTGTAGTACGAAATTCTAATCAAACCAAAGTAGACAGCACGATGTATACGACTAGGAGCAACATTCTTCGTATCGTACTCGTCATCAGTGTTTGTTGCGTTATCACGGCTCGGTCAGAAATGGGAGAGACACACGGTTTTAATGAGGAGTTTTCCTACCTGAGAAGCAACAGGGAGAATAATAAGGACTCAATATTGATTCTGGGCGGATTGGGTGAGTCAAATAAATTGGAGACAATTTCATAATTTTTTTTATTAAGAAATTTTATGATTTGTAAACCAGTGTTTCGGGTGAAAGTAACTGCTTATATTTTTTTTTACATATTTTTTGCACTTTATTTAAGTTGCAATTCTTGCGATTCTTGCTTTTCAGTGCAAAAAATTTAGCAAACCCGCAAGAAACGAAACACTGGTTTGAACGTTTATGTAATGTTTAATTTTTACGCAACTCTTTCCACTTTTTTCCAGACTCTGGCATGCCCCCGGAGGAATTTGTAATGCCGAACGTTACCTCAGACCTGCTTTCTCTCTGGGATAATTCGACCGGAAATGGCTCCTCGGACGGGGCAGGGCCTTCCTCCGACGAATACGTCCCTTACAGCTTGCGACCAGAGACGTACATTATCCCCGTTCTTTTCGCCATCATCTTCATCATCGGCATGGCAGGAAATGGAACGCTGATCATAATTTTCTTGAAACATCGCACCATGCGAAACGTCCCCAACATGTGAGTCTCAACTTTCTCCAACTTTATTTTATCTATTTTCATATTGGATGAAATTTGGTGGGCAATTTCGCATGGTGAAAGTACGTTTTAAGAGTGTGTAAGTTTGCCTGCACATGTTTTGTTATCTTTGTGCTCAATGTTTGTGTCCAATCATTTGGTGGACAATTTCGCTTGGTGAAAGTGATGATGACGCACATTTTAAATGTGTGTGAGTCGCTATTGCGTATTTATCGTGCTCAATGTTTGTTTGTGTCCAATCATTTTCTTAATTGCACTACAGTTACTACGTACTTCCTTATTAACTAGCGGAACGAAGTGAAGCGTAGTTGTTGCAATCGATTTGTCCGTCCGTGTGTCTGTCAGCTCAGATACCTTCCGAAGGAATCAACTTTTTTTGAGCTCTGCGTTCGGATATCGACATCAAATTTTAAAAGTACGACGGAGTTCGTTAACTGATCTTGTAAGTCAAAAGGTCACGTCACGACGCCACGGTGAAGAGTAAAAGGTCAAATGTGTCGAATCTTTCGACGACGAACATCGACCTGGTGACTTTGTAAACGAGGTTAAAGATCATAAAATGTCGAAAAATAAAAAAATGCCAAGTTTTCTTAGCCAATGATACACCTCTTAATGCGCTTCATTTCCGGGAGTTTGTTACATCTGTTCCTCGAGTTTATTATTATAATGAAGCTGTCTCTCTTTGACAGTGTGTTTTGTTGTCCTCCGTAATAATTCATGTCTTGACGTGTATGTATGCATGCATGAATGTCTTCCCTTTAATAAATATGCAGCGCCAGTTTTGTTCACTAATTAGCTCCCTGCTTGTCCCTGTATAACCGTGACTAGTGTACTTAGCAGAACGTGTCCATTAATTAGGGCAATTTGGACCTCTCTTGGCGATAGGTATATCGTATCCTTGGCCGTCGGAGATCTCCTCGTCATCCTGTTCTGCGTCCCGTTCACGTCCACCGTGTACACCGTGGAATCCTGGCCGTATGGCGAGTTGGTCTGCAAATTCTCCGAATTCATCAAGGACGTTTCCATCGGGGTTTCCGTCTTCACATTGACAGCGCTCTCGGCCGATCGCTACTTTGCGATTGTGGACCCCATGAGGAAACTGCAGGGGAGGAGGGCCACCAGGATCACGTGCATTTCGATCGTTGGTAAATATTTAAGAAGTGTTTTCTCACAAAAAAAACATCTGCAATAAATTTATGCAAGAAGTTTCGTGCAGTAGTGCTGGAAATGAAAGAAATAAGCATCACCTAGCGGAAAATCCATAAATTAAGTGTGTTGCGATGAGCGAGCCGCTAGATGGCGCCAATTTCCTGCATTTCTTGCACCTTGAATTTCTTGCAGTGCAACAAATGTGAAAAATGTGCAAGAAATCAGACTATTCAATTTCTTGCACTGGTGAAAGAAATGCAAGGGATTATCGCCACCTATCGGATAATCTGTATAATTAAGTGTATTACAGAGGGTGAGCTGCTAGGTGGCATACATTTCTTGCATTTCTTGCACCTCGCATTTCTTGCAGTACAGTGAAACAGATTTGAGCAATAAATCAAACACTGTATTTGAGTGAAAGCGTCGGATTAAATTTCCAGGATTATTTGACGAATGTTTAATTTCCCAGGAATTTGGATCATCTCGATCGTCTTTGCGGTCCCATCCATGCTGAACTCGTTCATTTGGAGGATTGAGGATAAATCTAACAATCACACTTACGAGGTCTGCTACCCTTTCCCATCCGAGCTGGGTCCCACTTACCCCAAGGTAACGAATTTACAAGTAATCATGCAAAACGGTACATCCACTAAATTTCATCTTCATCAACAACCAGGGAGATAATAAAGTTGAAATTGCACCACACATCCACAAACAAATGGACAGGAAGGAAGCAATAAATTCTTAAATTAGCGAGAAGGCCATGTTTACTTTCGACGAGCTCGGTTTGCTCTCGACTTGTTTTTGAAGTCCAAGTTTAGAGTTTAGTTATTACAACATTCCACCAGCTAACCACACGACACGCCACGCCACAGCGGAGTGGTTGTTCTTCCAGATAGACCACAAGTCTGTAGTGAAAGCTGGGAAGATGCTGGTACATATGTATGTAACACGAATGTGGGCATATTTAGGATTAGTTGTGCTCTTCAACTTTGACTTTCTCCGAATAATGAAGTTATCACAAAAGCTGCGCACATGCAGTGTTTCGTTTCTTGCGGGTTTTCTACATTTCTTGCAGTACAAAGCAAAAAACGCAAGAAATGGGTGCAAGAAACTGGGAGAAAGTGCAAGAACTATGAAGTATAGCGCGGGGAGTAGTTTAGTTGCGCCTTGCATTTCTTGCAGGTCAAAATACCTGCTAAAAAACACTTTCTTGCAGTTATTTCTTACAAGCGGGTTCTAGCACCCGAAACCCTGTTCACAAGCCAACAATTACCTGGAGGCGTTGTTTACATTTTGACAACCTAAATAGAACAGATTTTATCAACAATGTGCGTTTCACATGACAAAAGAGACAAAATTCAACTTAATAACTTTAATAAGTTTTAGCTTTAAAAAGCGATTGAGATGATGATAAAGAGCTCTATTTATTTATGTAAATTGTGACACGTGGATTTGCTCCCAGGTCGTCGTGATGTTTAAATTCCTCGTCTACTATGCCATTCCGCTCGCATTTATTGCCACCTTCTACGTAATCATGGCTCATCATCTCCTCCTCTCCACGAGAAACATGCCAGGTGAAGCGCAAGGTCAAGCGAAGCAGATCCAGGCCAGAAAAAAGGTAAGCAATTTTTTATACGAAATACTAAAATGTCCTAAAATCGTAAAATATTATAGGTAAATAACTCGATGCAAAATATCATAATGTCGCAAATTTGTTTTAAGTATTGCAAAAAAAATTCATATCAGTATTTGCACAAGGTCCTAGTCCCCATCATATTTACATATTTAGCTACATAGCCGTTCGTGTGGGCCACCTGGTTCTTAAATAGATTTCATGACAAAAACCAAAGTTGTGTAACGAGGTCATGCAAAAATTCGCTTTGTGACCAAATGTTGAGAAAGATCAAGAGAAAGAAATAATCTTAAATATTTGCTTTGTAACTTAACTTTTTGCACACTTTCTTCCTCCTCGCAAATACGTAAGTAATAAGTCACGAGAAAAAGTAGTTGGACTGCTTTCTTTGTACAAATAGTGGTCGTATCACCCAGGCAAGAAAAATAATACTGCGGTGACGGCGACTATTCATACCCTCTCACAAGGGAGGTTTCTCAGGGGATACTCTCCGATTTTGAGCAAATTCGTGTCAAATCTATCACAAATTTAATTCAGATAAAATTTGCAAAGGACACGATCTCCAATGGGCTCGTTTAGCGGAGATATTTGCATCCAAAGAGGAAAACACGCGCCCTAAAGTCGGCAAATTTTACTCTTTTCAAATTTATTGTGCACTTTCTCCTCTTCGGATGCAAACATCTCCGCTAAACGTGACCATTGAGAGATCGTGTCTTTTGCAAATTGCATATCAACCAAATTTGTGCCAGATCGAGATTAATTTGATCAAAATCTGAGAGCATACCCTGAAACACCTCCATTGTCAGTTATCCCCCCGTGTCGTCATATCAAACTCTCCACACGGCACTACTTTGCAACTAAACTGTCACTTTATCTGGTGTGTTTGTGCCGACAACTTTATTCTTTTTTGACAAGTGAGGACATTTTACGGGAAGACTTGAAACATCAATTAATCATGGCGTGAGATCACTTTACCATTCTGTTAGGAATACTCGTATGTGACTGACACCAATTTTTCTCTCGTTCTGTTTTCACTCGCAAAAATAAAGCTCTCGGGACTCCCTCTTTTTTGGTACGAATGTCATGTGGGCAATAAAACACATAAATGTCTTTTTCCGCTTTTTTATTTCTTTGGGGGAAGAAAATCTTTGAATTTTTTGAGCTACACACACACATCTCACGGGATAAGCAAGCAGTATGTATTAATAATGACCACGTTATCAGTCAGGCAGAAAATCAGACGCGGTTTAAAATGAGCTCAAGTTGAGAATCTCATAAAGGGTACTTCTTACATAATGGGACTTCTTACGTACAAATTTGTGTGCTATTATTAACCGACTTTCACCCTTAGAGAAAAAAAGCCTTTGATGTGTAACACGCTTGAAATAATGAATGTTTACACATACAAAGCATCAAAGTGGCAAAGTTAAAGTTGTGGCAGGTTCCTTCCTTCGTCTGGAGTTGAGGGTGCTTAAAGGTCAAAGGTCACAAAGGTTAATAAGTACATACACCCATTTACATAATTGCCATACTAATTACGTCACGATGGATGAGGTCATAGCTTTATTCACGAAGAAAGTTGCCCTTTACATAATTTAGAAAGCTCATTTCATTCCCTGGAATCACTTTCTCCTTGCTTTTGCCCACCTACGCAAATAATTGTGTTGCGTATATTTTTTTAATTTTTCCCGAGAGACGTGTTATGCTAATCCTAATCGTCTATGGTTTATATTTGATAATTAGACCCATAAGAAATGCATACAAAAGAGTCTAATTTTAATGCACAAATCATAACTGTTTTTTTTGCTTGTTTTTTTTCGCAGGTAGCCAAAATGGTGATGGCATTTGTGGTAATTTTTGCCATGTGCTTCTTCCCGTCGCACGTATTCCTCATCTGGTTCTACTACAATCCTTCCTCTATGGAAGACTTTAACGATTTCTGGCACGTCGTCCGAATGGTCGGCTTCTGTCTCTCATTCATCAACTCGTGTCTCAACCCTATCACGCTCTACATCGTGTCCGGCACCTTCAGAAAGGTGAGCATAAAAAATAAAGCTCCCAAATTATTACATATTTGCTCACAAAATTAAAAATTCTTTATTTTACGATTTTACGTACAGCATTTCAACCGACACCTCTTCTGCTGCTGTTGTCCGCAAGATGTGCGCGGTCGTGGGGCACGCGGTGGCTATAACTATAGCCAGACACATACGGAACACATTTGTCATGACAGAATTTCACGGAATGGGACACAAATATCGAGAGCATCCACGGTCGTGGTGGCTGGTGGGACGCCGGGTCGGAGGTGAGCAGGAATTTATCGCCAAAATTTATGAGTGCATAATGAATAAATATTTATGTTCATTCAAAAATTTGGAAAAAAATATTTTAAAATAAATAGTTATTCACTTCATATTAATAAAGAATGACTGAATATTTTATTATTATTCATTTTTTTACCCTATGCTTAATTCATATAGCTTGAGAAATTCGTCCAATAACGCAAATTTAAAGTAACCAAATGAATAATTAATGAATAATAAATATTTTTTCAAATTTTGAGTAATTTTGACTAATGAATTTATGATTTTTTTCAATTTTAAAAATGAATGAATTTTGAACAAAGAAATCTTTTTGAACACGTAGGTCGATTGCAGCCGGTCTCAACGGCCAACAACCACCCCCATCACATTGGCTGCATCACAATGAATCTCATTTGAAACCTCTCCTCACCACGACTGGGGGTGGAAGAGAAAGCATCCTCACTGGCGGTGGTGGTGGGAGTAAAATATCCCAAAAAAGTGGGGGTGGCGGAGGCGAGGACTTTCCCTTAAACCATCTCAGCATGAACGTGTCCTCGATAAATGTCGAGACTCGAGGGGGCGGTGAAGCCATCACGGTCGGCATGTAAATTTTCAAAAAGAATGAAAAGTATTATTTCTATTTTTATTTTAGTTTACTTTGGTCGGCCAAAAATAGCGTATCTTTTTTAAAAACTGTTTCTCACACCATAAAAAATTGTGCATTGTCGTGAAAATAATTTTAGGAATTCATCATGGGTCAAATTTATAGTGCCCAACCAAAATTTTTTTTCTTCCAACCAAAATCAATGATTTTCGCAACCTTAAAATTTGCGACCAAAAGTTTTTATTTGTCCAACCAAAATATATAACAATATAACCAAAAAATGAAACATCCAACTAACATAATTACGTGAATTGAATTATCAAATCCTTCGATTATATTTAAATCTAAATACGAAGTTCAAAGCAAACATTTAAGGTAAACCTGTTTTGCCTATCTCAGGTATGCATGACAGGTTCAGTAGCAAAGTAAACTGCAATCTCAAATACTCCCTCTCTTCTCTCTATACATTTCCAATATTGTGTAATATTTTACGACTAAAAATGTCTGATTTTCAACGTTTAAATTATCAATCCAATTCCGAAGAATCCGAGGAAGATAGTCCACCACCAGCTAAAAAACCAAAACGCATTCACGAATGAAAAAGAGTCCAAACGTTTAAGAGTATTGACGAGGCGAAATTATATGCCAAAAGTGATGGCCATTTCCAATTTAAATCGACACGATCGTGCTTCGAAGGGGAAAAACTTTATTTCAATTGTAAAACCACTAATTGTCCCAGCAAGATTTTTCTTTTCAAACGAAGTAAGAATGGTATTTTATATTTTGTAGTACTTCGATTTTAAATAAAGTTTCGCCCTTAGATAATACCTTGGATGTGGATTTATTCGTTACCGAAGCAAATCATAATCATGATGGCATGAAAATTGTTGGAATACGGAAGGAAGTCAAATCAAAAATTGAGACGCTCTTTGGAAGTGGCATAACAAAACCGAACCAAATTATCTGTCATCTTCGAAATGAAGGATTCGACGTACCTTCAAAAATGCAGATAACAAACTTTATCTCTGTTATAAGGAAAAAAACTGAACCGGCAATTGTTTCAATTGGTCAACTTTGCCAACTTTGTGAAGAAAATGAAGATACTCCTGTCGACGAGGATCAGCCCTTTTTTGTAGGCAAAATAATCGACGCTACAGAAAAAAAATTTCACGTGATGGCATCGACCCTCAGGCTTTTATCAAATTCTACTAAAAGTAAAGCATTGCACGCTGATGCTACTTACAAGTTACTTTTCGAAGGATTTCCCGTTCTTGTAGTTGGAACAACGGACAAAAACAGGCATTTCCATCCTCTGGGAGTCGCCTTATCATCTGCTACATATAGGGAAAGAGTTCCTTTGCGACAATTTTTTGGCTGTATTCTTAAGCTACTACGAAATTGGTCTCAAGATAGATGTCCCGAGTTCCCAAACCCAAAAATTTTTCATTTAACACCGTCTATTTCCAATTTGTTAATGTCTGCATCATATACATGGGCTCGGGAAAATAAAAGCGTTCGCTTCAAAAGCGTAGAGGATACTTTAATCCAGTGTATTTGTCCAGCAAATGGTATGTCATTACGAAAGGAAGAAATTGACAGAGTCTTAGGATTATTTATGCGGATGTCTTGGAAGAAATTTGAGTCGTATGCTACTAGTAAATCGAAATTATGGATTGTTAACTTTAATTTGTCTAATTGGATTACCTCTAGTTGTTCTTGTCCAATTTTTAAAAAAGAGTATATTTGTAAGCATATAATTAGAATTGGTATCATCAAAAAAATAATTAATGTCCCCGAGAATCTCAAAACCGATTGCATCGGATATAAACCCAAAAGAGGTCGGAAAAAGATTGTAGGAAAAGCTTTGGTTGTTGACTAAATACAAATGTTTCTCCTAAATTGTCAAATTTTTAAAAAATTTTGTTGTATTTGAAAATTTTACTGCCTTAGGTTAATTATTCTGCTATTTAAATATTAAATTATTTGGTTGTAAAATTTTACATTTTGGTTGGATTAAAAAAATAAATTGGTTGCAAATTTTGAAGTTGCAAAAATCACTTGTTTTGGTTGGAAGAAAAAAAATTTTGGTTGGACGGTTATACTCGCACCCTATAAATATAGATATTCAATTGATGTTTCTAAAAAACAATGTAAAAATAGATGACATTTTTCAATTTCGAAGAAAACTATGTATAACTGCCGACAAGGGAAAGTGAGCGTGTGACCTTTGGTGAAAACTATATTTATTTTTTAAAGAGAAAGTGGAGAAAGTTTTGCATTTGAAATGAATGGTGTTGGTTGTTTGATGTCTCAATGTTCGTGGGTGGATAAATACATAAAGTATGGTGCGAATGAGATGATATGATACTGATATTTGTGGTACTCTCTCTCCTACGTATTTTTTTGTACCTATCTAACAATACACATGTTACACATGTTTCTCACGGATTTTCTTAAAGGTAGGAGTAAAAAAATCAAGCAACTAAACACAAACAATAATTAGTATGGTAGTTAATGACTTACAGAATTCATGGATTTAAGGTTTTAAATTTGGTAAAAACTTTAATTTTCACTATGCGAAACTATACGGGGTCACATCCCCGCTTTCCGATGATGGAAATGCGCGGTTTAGTCAACTAAGAACCTTCGCCATTCCGTGAATTCGGCAGAAGTGCCACACTAACTGTGGTTTTTGTTTAGTTACTTAATTTTTTAGTGCTGGTTTTAAGAAAATCCGTGAGAAACATGTGTGACATGCGTATTGTGAGTACGAGACAAGAAGTCACTCTATATTCTTGTCAGGATTGATTGAACGTGGTGCTAATCGTATTTATACACGTAATTCTGTACAATGTGCGTAATCATGTTACGTAATCATGTTACGTGATCCACATTCCTATTCCTTACCTGTGTATGTAACAAAGAATCCGGAGAAAGTTGATCTAAATAAATATCTGTAAATTATAAATCTTAACAATTCTTGCTGTGCAAAAAAATAGTCAGTAAATACTTTTAAAATCCAGACTTTAGTACGTATGTACCTACATAAATACAAAAATATGTTAAATGTATTCTCGTGACCTGTATGTATTTATGTATTTATTGAGAGAATAAAAAATATCTAAATGTTGTTATCTGTCGTACAAACGAAAGCGCGTGTTATGTAGCGGTTGCGTTTATTGGTCTTTATTGTCTTCATAAGATAAGACGTTGCTTTGGTCGTAGCTTTAATCAGTAGTCACGCAGCTTCAAAAAGTCCAGGGTTTCTTGCGGGTTTGCTATTTTTATGGCACTGTAAAGCAAGAAATTCGAGAAAGTGCAAGAAATATACGCATCTACCCACGTGGCATTTGCATTTCTTGCAGGTCAAAATACCTGCAAGAAACCACTTTCTTCCGGTTATTTCTTGCAAGTGGTTACTTTCACCCGAAACACTGACTATCTCTTACATAGCTAGACTGACTGGATTCCTGGATTACCTCATAAATACGCGCACGTACGTACGTAAGTAAAATCCTGAAGAAGAACGTGGACCAATTGTTGCACGTAAAAGTAAAGTAAGTAAAAAAAAGTCCCATTCTCTCCCCGTCCAATTTACTTTCTCCGGTTCGAATAACTCCAAATTTTCTCCGTGGCTGTCTGTTGTTTCGTTTCTGGCCCTTTGTACTCGACCCGCTCTTATTTAACTAGTGCAATAATAGACCACGAAATGTTTCCTTTTCATGGAAAAAGAAACTATTTTTTTGGGAGCGCAACAATGAAAACAATTTTTGACTAGGAAAGGTTGACTTCATTCGGAATGAAAAAATTGCTCTTTTTTCATGAAAGTTGTATAACTTTCTTCGTTTCATAACTTATGAATCATAAAGAGAAAAACAGTTCGTGATTAAAATCAAATGCTTTCTTTTGATCTTTTCTTCTTCTGAAAAGAGGTAGATTTGATACATTGGAGAAGATTATTATTAATTAAAACATGAGCATAATTACTATTACTGGACAAAAATAGATAAAATTTCTTGGGGAAATATTAGGACAGATGGTCCACCCGAAAGTCAATTCAGCAGGAATAAAGTGACCAAAAATAAGAATTTGGGACAAAATGGGATTAAGTAACTTGCCGCAAAATTTCTTTGGGTTCGTGGATGAATTGCAGGGAATGATTCGGTTCGAATTGAATCGAAATCCTACTTATTTTTAAACCCAGTTCGCCTTCCGGAGAAAGTGAGCTTTCACTTTGTAAGTGACCTTCGAGCAAGGAAATTTATGGCTTTCTCTCTCAGTCACTCTCTCTCCAAAGCTTAATAAATCCTTATTCACTTTCTCCTGCTCCGCCTCATTTTATGCATGCCAACTCATTTACATCGGCATATTTCTTCTTTCACCGTGATGAAAGGTGTCTGGCGACAAAGGGTACGCATTTCTGTAGGCGTTTGTACACACATTTAAACAAACGACTTTATCTACATTAATGCCCGCTCTTCCAGAATTTGACTGCACAATCCAATCTGCCCGTAATCCCGCCCAGCCAAGTTTCGCACTTTCTCCAAAGTGCAATTTTCATACGTATGTTTTTCCATTCCCTCTCAGCAGCAGTCAGTTATGTATGTGCCCATGGTACATAATTGTGTCTGATATTGATTCAGTAAACTATATGACACAGTTGGGTGCACTCATTCACTCGTAACTATTATTCCACTTATGTAACTTTGGATGAAAACAATGCATGAATGTTGATTTTGCACGAGTAAACACACGTGTTTAATAAGTTTCACGTCAAGGACAATGCAATAATTAATTGTGTTTGCTATTTGCACGGTATGATACTTACATAGGTAATGGTATGTCTTCTAGCAGAGTGAAAGTTTGATAGGAAACTTCCTTTTGAAGATCTCAGAATGTCGTTACGTTACATGTGTCGTCATTATTGTTTTGTACAGTATGATACGTAACGTCATGTTTTCTAATAGTAATTTGAGTTGCGTCTGTAGAGTGTGAGTTTGACCGTAGCCAGTGACCGCGGAAGCGTTGGGACAGAGGGGCAATGCCCCCATGGTTATTCGATGTCCTCATCATCTGCCCATGTTATATTAACCCCTCCCTCCCATATCTATCCTACAATGTTAATGCCCCAGATGTCCCCACGGCTTCCGCGGCCACTGGGAGAATTCAGGCTACTCAAATGTATGAGCATGATGCATTAGCCGCGGAAGTGTGGGGACAGAGGGACAATGTCCTACGATTGTTCGAGGTCCCCATCATCTGCCCATGTTATATAAGCCTAACCCTCCCCTATCCGACAATGTTAATATCCCCAGATGTCCCCACAGTTCCTGCGACCACTGACCATGACGATGAGAAGCTTCCTTTTGAAGACATCTCGTCATGCATGTCGTGACCATTACACGACGTTCAATGTGTCATCATTAATGTTCGTGGATAGTGTGAAACAAAATCTTGCCAGGATTCAGGATGCCCAGAGGGAATCGACTCCTCGGGGAAGGAGAAAGTGAAGGGAAAGCAATTGGATGTCGTGTCAGTCAGTCTGTGTCAACTGAACCTTTTTCCTTTCAGACAGGCTGTGATCTTGCAAAAAATATATGAATTGCTTGCGTAATAGAAAACCGAGCTAACAATTTTACAGAGTTTACTTACAACAAAAACTTTACGACTTTCACCACGTCGTAATTACGTAGTTAATAATTAAATACAATTTTATAATTTGTGAACTTCTATTTAGTAATTTATTTATGAATTACTTACATAATTGAAACCTGGGCCAACAATTTTGCACAGTTTACAACAAAAACTACGACTTTTACAATTCCTTAATTATTTAAAAATTGAATATAAGCTTACAAATTGTGAAGTTACATATTTATGCAATGTTTTTTGTTTTTAGAAAAAATCATGCCGAAAAGTGGGAAACTTTGACTTGATCGTTTCCGCAGTGTTGCGTAAACTCGGAAATTTCATATACCAAGTGCAGTACTTATATAGGCATGTAAAGACCCAACTTTGTCCTTTCACCGCTTTGTCACGCAATGTATGTCGTGTAAATGCAGGAAAAATCTCCTCCGCCTTTTTGTTGCTCATCTTCAGGGAGCAGATTATCCGTGCCAAGCAGTTTGGCCAAAGTGTCACGTCTCCCAAATGATGTGAAGACTATCCCGTTGAACTGACTGGGTAGAAATTGATACCCAATTTTCATTTCATGCGTTGGAACCGTGTTTGTTGGCCATGAACTGCAGAGAAGAGCATTCGAACGGCTTACTTAACAAGGGATAGCCTTTCAGTTTTATTTTACTTTCTCCAAGTTTTCAAACAGAACGAGTATCGTTAGCCGTGCGGATGAACGTGATGTTATGGCTGGGAAGAGATTTCGTGATATTTAATGACCATAATTTCTAACTTCCGGGTATGATGTGATATCCTCTTGAAAAATGTGTATGCCTTGAAAATGGAACTGCTACCTATGCCATTAAATATGTAAATTGGATTGATAACTATCTCCTTTTTTCATTTAATTTGTATGTTGCAAATCTGAAGTTATTTTAATATGGACTAATTTTCTTCATTTATGTACAAAAAATTGTCCAAAATTATTTTCAGAAATGAAGAAGCGATCGATTCGTATTTCGGAACGATTAGTCTCGAAAGCGACAATGTTTTACTAAAGCGCTAGCTGACTATCTATGTCACATTGTCAAGTTACAGGTCACAGCCCTATAATTAGCGCCAGCTGCTTTATGGCATTGTTTTGTCTGTCCGTCTGTCGGAGAACGACTGGACACAGTCAAACGCGGTTTTCGCCTATGTGCTTAAAATTTTTAGCTCTAGGTAGAGTTCAATAATTGTGTCAATCGGACCTCCGACCGTGAGTACGAGGTCAAAGGTCATAAATCGCATAATTTTCATTTCGTGTCATTTTACATTTTACTTCATTTGTTCATTTGACACGGTTCATTACAAAGCAAATTAAATATTGATAAGTCTCAAAACTTAGAATTTTCTCATTCAATGGTCAACACAGCTTTAAAAGTGCCTTTCAAATTAGCTCGAAAGAATTTTAGTATGCTTATCCTCGTAATTATGAATACTCCATCCTTCCCGAATGCCAATCGTTTCTGCCATTTTCTAAACTTGGCGACGAATTTCCGCTCCTCGTTGGACGAAAATTTTGCAAGTTTCCATGATTTTAGCATCGATGCTGACATCTTTTGAAATCTTCCTCCCACTTCTAACACGGTGGACCACAAGTTATGCACTGTGCTGACCCATAACAAGAGCAATACCTGGAACAAAATCCGTATCAATTTTATAATGAAATTGCGATTCATACTCGCAGTGTTTCGTTTCTTGCGGGTTTGCTACATTCCTTGAATTGTAAAGCAAGAAACGCAAAAAAGGCAAGAAATGCAAGTTGCAAGAAAGAAAGTGCAAGAAATATGCGCCATGAGCTGCAGCGGCTGGGCGTAGTTTCTTGCACCTTGAATTTTTTGCGAGTCAAAATAGTTACAAGAAAAAACTTTCTTGTAGTTATTTCTTACAAGTGGTACTTGCAAGTGTTTCGGTTTTTGTGAATTTGCTGCATTTCTTACATTGCAACACAAGAAATGCACGGTGCAAAAAAGTGCAAGAAATATGTGCCATCTAGCCACGAGCCGTATGAAGTATAGCGGCGGGAAAGGGTTTCTTGCGCTTTGTTTTTCCTACGTGTTAAAATAGCTACAAAAAACCACTTTCCTGCGGTTATTCTTTGCAAATGAGTGGTTACTGCATTCGAAATACTGCAAACTAGTAAAAGGCTTGACTTTCACCGTGTTAAAAATGTCCGTAGTATGCCAATTTTTGATGATGGTGAAATTGCAGAAAAGAATGAAGTGGGAGCAGGCCCCATGACTGAAGACGATCAACAGTCCAAACGGATCCATCAAAGCCTTGTGGACAAGACGGATGCAAGTATATTCCAAACTCAGGTTTTCTCCACTTTCTCTCAGACTGTCAAACGCTAAATGTTTCGTGTTTCCCTTCATGTCAAACTCTCGAAGGACAAGTTGCATCGAAACTGCGAGACAAAAAAGACTCATTAGTTTAACGTAGGAGTGGAAGACTCATCACAAAAGTTGTAAAAATCAACACATTTTTAATCATTTCTCGACTTTGGGAATTTATTTTAAAATTCTGGACGACAAATTTGTAGAACAGGCCTTTGCAAATTTTAAAAAATATACGGCAGATTTTGACAGTTATTGACCTCAACTTCAAGAAGCCTCGTAACTGGCTTAAAAAAACTCACCGCCATTCCATTAATTAACTACAAATTGAAATTTGTCGCCCAGAATGTTAAAATAAATTCCCAGAGTCACGAAATGATTAATAATGTGTTAAAAATTAACCATTTTGGTGACGAGTCAATAAGGTGTCACATTTTTGGAGAAAGTGGTATATTTATTACAGAAATAGAGCGTGGCAATGACCACACACAGCATGACCAAGTACCAGGTCATGCCTGCGATTATCGTCACACCGAGAAGAGAGGCTGACACAAAGACGGGATCGTTTTTTACGCAGGCAGGTAAAAAAACTTGTCGCGGATGGACTCCATTTTCTGGCGAAGTGATGAAGTAGAACGTAGTGGCAAATGGGATAAGTGCAAATCCCGCTATTTCCAGGTGGACCAGGATCACCAATAATTTTAGGATCGGGTTCGTCTCAGGGTGACAGATTGGCATCCACTTTTCTGAAAATATGTGACTGTATAAATCAGTACATAGATAAAAAAAAATCAAATCTGCATAGTCAAACGCCAACCTTCACATATTTCGCAAGTTGAGCATAATTTGCAACGTTTTGCGAAATTTGTGAGATTTGCAGGAAACCTTTGCTGGAGAACCATAAGACTTTCTTTGCAAGTTTACCAAGCAAATGGACATGGGGCTATTTCTCAAACTCATTTTCACCATTACCAGCGCGAGAAATTACAGAAATCTATGCAAAACAACATCAAAATGTTTTGCGAATTCCCTCACGTCAGAAATTTTTAGAATTTCGCAACTTTCCTAAACGAGTTGCGATACGAAATGAGACGTTATCGTGAGTACGTTCCATATATTTTTCTTGCAATTAATTACTTACTATGAAATCGTGGGAAATAGCCGAAAATGAGGTTTAATGCTCTCGAGACGTTGTTCTGTTCAAGGTAAAGAATCATCGAGGCCACGATTGGGACCGAAACGCCGAAAGTAAGCACATATCCAAAGTGAAAGTGAGAATTTGAAGTCCAACTATCATCCCCGTCGAGGTAAATGTACATGACTTGACGCCACATGAGACACATGTAAGAAATCAGGATGACAATTGATCTTCCATACTTTCTTCGAGATCGGGTCGTAATATAGAAGATTTTCTCCGTGGGGTTAAAATGCATGGAAAATGAACCCATTTTCGTCGTCAGTTTGCACATTAAGTGAAGCAGGCGGAATAGACGGGTCGTGTACATTTTGCTGTTGTCAATGTGCTGACTGCAGAGATATTTAAATAGTTGACGGTGGTTCAGCTATTCTGAAACGCGTACATAGGTACGAATACATCCTGTAGAAAATTTCAAAATATTCAAAAATTTCAATTTCCAGCAATTGCTACATCAATTGCAGGAATTAGCAAAAAAAATGAGCGGTTAAACGTCAAGTTACAAGCCGCATGAAATATCTATTTTAATAAATCCCATATATTAGGAAATTATATGAATTCACTTTCGTGGTTTAAATGGCATATGAAGATACCGTTTTTATTATATGTAATCACGTAAGAACATAGCTTGCTCCTTATGAAAATAAGTACGCAGTTATGTACGTAGTTACCAAACTTGCGTAGGTATACATTGGACTTGGTATTCTGCACACATATCAAGTTTACACAACTTATCGTGCTTCCCATTTAATTGAACCAGGATATAGAAAATCGAAAAAGGTCACCCGTAATGAAATCCACACAAAGTAGGAACCACTCCCTTTTTCCCTGGAATGATAAATATATTCCTCAAGTCAAATGAATCTCAATTGGAGCAGCTAGCATAAAAGAAATGTTGTTCAATAAGAAAAAATGTGAGAATGTGATGATATCCAGTTAATTAATAATTATCAGGGAGCTTAAGTGCAGCAGATTTATTAACCCTACAAAAATTGGGTGTACAAACTTCATATTTATCAGCGTTTCTAGTGACCTCCAAAAGCTGCAGTTAATTAATAATTACATAACTCTCAAAGGAACAGAGTTATGTAACCCGACAAAAATTGGGTGTAGGCTCTACTTCATATTAATCAGCGTCTCCAGCGACCCCCAAACCGGCTTAATCTCTCAATTAAAAAGTCATAAGTACTTTTCACTGTGTGATTTAGTACTTTCCGTCAAAACGAGAAGGCCAATTTTTATGGGGGTACATATCCTCGAAACTAAATTCCAATCAATACCGGATATCAAGTAACGTTTTAATTTGGCACGAAATCCCACAAGAAAATCAGTTAAGAGGTGAAATGGCGAACCTTTTTGTACAATTGTTCAACTCAATGTGCTTAATATCAGCTTTTGCTGCCACTTTTCCTTCCACATGTGAATTGAATTCGTTCCATCACGAATGAATCCCTGTAAGTATATAGGAGATGAAGATAACATACAATTTTAATCAACCTTGTGGGCTCGCCCACGCCTAGAGGAAGAAGAAAGGTTCACCACAGCTTATTCCTACGCCTTAGTTAGTACACATGAGGTACATATGTATTAGTCTTGCCACAAGTTGATCCTGAGTTGAGTTGAGGATGAGTTTTGGACCAACTCAGGAGGGGAGCTTGCGAGGTTGATAATAACAGATCTTGGTGCCCTTTGGATATGTGGTAGGGACCCATGAGTGTACTAAAACCCTGAAGTAGTTTGACTCCATGGCCACATTTGCGCCCGCCACACCCACTCAAAAATGCCCAAAAAACGCTTTCACTCGAGTTTTCACTCACTCAAATCCACGTCAAAAATCCAATTTTACTCGGATTTTGAAATTTCTTTCACCATTACACTCCCAGATAGTTGCTTTCTGCAATCCAATATCAAACTCAATTTTGCTGATGACTATTTCGCAGGCATAATTTGCGTTGTTGATTACTACAACAATCCTCATTCCGAATTGCAATTTTTAAAAATACTAAAAATTTCGAAAAAATTGAGTTTGATATTGGATTGAAGAAAGCAACTATCTGGGAGTATAATGGTGAAAGAAATTTCAAAATCCGAGTAAAATTGGATTTTTGGCGTGGATTTGAGTGAGTGAAAACTGGGGTGAAAGCGTTTTTTGGACATTTTTGAGTGGGTGTGGCGGGCGCAAATGTGGCCATGGAGTCAAACTACTTCAGGGTTTTAGTACACTCATGGGTCCCTACCACATATCCAAAGGGCACCAATATCTGTTATTATCAACCTCGCAAGCTCCCCTCCTCAGCTAAGCTCACCTTAATAAATAAATGAGTCAAGTCGAGTTGAGTTGAACCTTCAAGGTCAACTCTGCTCAAATCGACTCACTTTAAGTGAGTTGCATATCTTCGCATCATTACCTGTTCCCTTTAACTCGTAGCTAAGACGATTGTCCTTTTGTAAGAAATGGTTTAATTCGGGAGTAAGACAAAAGTCGTTCTGAAAAATCTTGGGCACGGCGCGGAAGGAAGACAATTGTCGTTTTTAAGGGATCATTGATTTTCACAATTTTCTCTCCGTGGCCTAAGATTTGTTGCAATTTTGGGGGATTTCTCCTATACCAACATAATGTTAAATTTGAAAATTTTCTTACCAAAATTTGGATATTTCCTAATAAAGCATTGTTAAGTTTTTGATTTTTTAATTTTTTAGAGTTTTCTTAAAACTCCTAAATTCCTCTTCCCACACCATGACCACCACATACCCGAATTAATGCATTTTCTTGTAGTCAATGATGCTCGTTAAAGGGTTAAGCAGGGTTCGGAAAAACCCAGGGTTTTATTCAAAAAGTATCGACCCAGGGGTTTTAATGGGTTTTAATGGGTTTAATGGGTTTTATTGGGTTTTTTGGGTTTTAATGGGTTTTAATGGGTTTAATGGGTTTTATTGGGTTTTACTAGGTTTTACTTAAATAATACACTGAAAAAAATTTTCACAACTATTGCAACCCAATTCCAGTCATACATATGCAAATCCTTGTCCATGTTAGAATATGTACGTATCTGTTCATATTAACTGATGACAATTTAATACCATTTGGGACCATAATTAATTCTTTTTCCTGAATACTACCTCTCATCATAATGAAATCCAAGTTGACCAGAACGGCAAAAATCTTGTCTTGTAAGCAGTTCATGTGAAAATGTCCCCCATACGACACATTTCCAAGCATACATATTGAAAATTAAAATATAAGCTTTTTCTACCTCCAACAGAACCTAAATATGTCCCTATTAGAGAGAAATTCAAACCAGCAAAAGCTTCCAGGGCTTTTGTGGTTGAGTAAAAATTCATAAAATTTGTAAAGTTTTTCAAAATTTAATGTTTCCAAATTTAATAGTTTTTAGCGATCTCAAGGTGCATTATTACTTCTGGAAAAAATCGAGTATTTATGGATAACGAAATACATTATTATGAGCAAAAAAAGTATATCCGTAAAAAGAACTTGTTATGGTCTAGAGTAGTATTAAATAATACATGATCAGTTAACCTATTCCGAAATTACTTTTCTGTATCACTTGAAACCTGTGATGGTAAGGGATGGATTCGTTGATTTATTCCTGGTTTCAAAACGTACAATATTAAAGAACTAAACTGCTTAGCTGCCGTAAAACAACTTCGTCTCACGTATGATAGATGTTAAAATCCATTAAAACCCGAATAAAACCCATTAAAACCCAAATAAAACCCATTTAACATGGTAAAACCCAATGGGTTTTATTCATTAACAACCCATTAAAACCCATTAAAACCCAAAAAACCCAACCCAATAAAACCCTGGGTCGGAATACCCTGGGGTTAAGGGCTGCTGGCTCATGAGTTTCAACTCAACTCATTGAAGTTTTCAGCATTAAAGTTTTAAACTCAGCTCAGCTCATTAACGTGAGCTCAACTCAGGAGGGGAGGTTGTATACTATCAACTCCCGGATCTCGATGCCCTTTGGATATGTTGTAGTGTCCCATGAATGAACAAGAACCCTGAAATGGTTTGATTCCATGACCACATTTGTGCCCACCACACCCACTTAAAGGTGCCCAAAAATCGCTTTCACTCCAGCTTTCACTCATTCAAAACCACGCCAAAAATCCAATTTTTCTCCGATTTTGAAATTTCTTTCACCATTATACTCCCAGATAGTTGTCCTCTTATATCCAACATCAAACTCCTCCTCAGCTCATGGCTCAACTCAGTTCAGCTCATAGCACAACTCACGGAAATTGAGATAAATTTGGTTAAACTCACCGGAAACACTAGTAAGTACTTTGTAATTCAGGAGAACGATTACACCATCTACTTTCTCTTTGGAATTAGAGGGATTGATTTCGAGGCTAAATCCGTCATCTGTCTGAGAAGAAATACTAAACATTTCAGCCTTACATAATACATACTAATCATTAGACCACTTTGTCACGTAGGATGAAATATGTGTTACATAAGTTGTTCAAGGATTCGTGACAAAGAAACGGGAAATTACGTATGAAATAATGATTGGTTTCCTGCTATATAAATTATTATTGCAGAATATAATTTCAGGGCTGCACTATAAATAAAATGAGCTAAATATCTTGGTCATTATTGTGTCCCAAATATCAATTTTTTCATGTAAAATAAATTGAATGCAGGGGGATTTAAATATAGATTGGGCCAAATTCAACCTTTGATTCTACATGATTATCTACTATATCTGAGTGTAGAATAATTTTTCGACGACAAAATATTTATACAACTAATATTTATGAAAATTTGTTGTTAAAAAATAACTCACCAGTATGAAAATCGAAATTTTGTCCAATTACATCTTGGACAAGAATCTGCAGAAATTTGCTTGCCTGGAGATTTGGTTAAAAATCTTCTGTGGGATTAATTTTGCACACAAAATTCTGCACGTTTACCTACATGCATACACTCTGTACAAAACTGTATATATAGAAATTGCACCTTTGCGAAACGTGCAGACCAAAAAAAGGTATAAATTTTCCTACGGGAACTATTGTATTACAGGAATTGAAACATACTTGTCGAGCATTAGATAATTAAAAATAACGAAAATGTAAGGTTTGCTTACATAACACGACTGTTCAAATAAGGTGACCTTAGCATAGTTTAGTTTTAAATAGCAAAACATTTTCTACTGTTTGGTCAACTGGTTTGAAAAACTTAAATATGCTTATCATTTGTCGATAAGACCTCGCCCCATTTGTCTCAATACTTTGACCGTGGAGGGACAGAGAATTGAATAATCTCGGCTAAACTGAGTTCAATTAGGTAATGTACACACAAGCGTGAAATGTAGATCAATTCGACCGCAGGTAAATAATATCTCATCAGACAAGGCAAACATAATGTTGAAGGAAATTAGTATTTAAGCCGGAATTTTGTTATGGAAAATTCATCAAATCATCGAATCATCTCATATTCCAACTTCAAAAACTATCAGGAAACTTTCCCCTCGGAAATAAAATGTTTACCAAAACGCAATTCAAAATCTTCTTAGCGATTATCACAATTCTTGTGGTAACCGCTCTCGCAACGGAAGATGTAAATGAAAATATTAGATTTTTTAAAAACATTGGCTCATAATTAATTACCTTTTTTCTTATGTTAAATAGGTCATGACTCAAGATGCCGAAACTCTGCTTGAGCGAGAGGCCAAGTGTAAGTGATAACTAACTAGTTAATTAACTTTTGTAATTATATTTACTGTAAAATTTTAACTTTCTCCACAGGGCTCCCACCCGGTATTTGGATTCCATTGCCAGGACTCAACCCAACCAATGGCACCAATTCGACCGGATAACACGATTAGATTCAACGGGAAACAAATTATTTATTGCACACTTATTTATTTATTTCATACAATTTTAATAAAAGTTTTTGGCCAAATATTTATGTCATGAAATATCGTCTATTTTCTAAAATTGTATTTCCACTAATTTAGCGCAGAATCACAGTTTAAACACATTGACAGGGTTACGATTGTCAATAAAAGCCATATTTACCAGAAGTGGTAAAAATGGCGGTAGGAAAAATACCTCTTTCCCACTTTTACACATAAAATAAGTGAGAAATTGGAAAAAGTATTTTCACAGATATCTAACAGATTTTCCCCAATTTTACCACAGTAAATCCCATTTGTTCCCACTTTCTCACACCTGCCCTGAGAAAAATGTGTTTTACAAACAAAACCCTGGACACTATTGTTGAATACGACTCATTCATATGACACCAAACCGATAGAATGAAGCGACATGAATAAACATTGCCCTACACCAATTTGCATACGATTACCTACATACTTTTAATCGTAAACGATCTCCTCTTCTTCCTCTCTAATCAAGTCTTGATTATCAAGAGTAAGTCATAAACATTTCTCATATTTCATGTTTCGGGTCAAATTACATACTTTCGAAGCACCATGCAACGATGTATGAACTGACATAGTTTTAGAGTAAGTATGCCCTGGTGAGATCATTACGTTGATGAGCAATCAGACTTTATTGCTGCTGTTGCTTCTCATATTTCGCCTCTCCTTTCACTAAATTCTAACTCCGGGATGCTTTTCAGTCTCGCTCATGAATTCCAAGGGAGAAACGGCGAGACGGGAAATTTGAGACGACGGGTAACCGACCTAACCTAACCCGAAATGAATCACTAAAGTGAAAGTAAATGTGCTCGAGTGAAAGCTGGATAATGGTGAATGCACTTTTTCTTGAATAATGTACATCATACATATTTCTAGCCTAATAAAATATGACAAATACATTTGTAACACGTTACTCTTATCTAGTCTTATTATTAGGCCGATATAATGTGGGAAATAGATTTCCAAATTGAAGTTTTTACTTTCTCGCTTTACCAAATATTCAACAATATTTCCACCGTTTTAAAGTACCGACTTATTGCATGCTTGGTTTTTCTTAAGGCATCCATTATAAAGAATAAATACATTCTAAATATATAGCAGAAAGAGAGAAAAAGGGTTGGAAAACTATTTATAAAATGAAACGGTTTAACCCGTGCATCAATCTACTATATACCTAAATACAACAGGCTAAACCCTTTCTGTACTTTTACTCGATGAATATTATTACCAATTCTCACTTAAATACATTATTATTATTACATACATTACACTCGCGACTTGAAACGAAATAAGAATTTGTTGCCACCACGTTTGAAAGCATGTCGAATCTCGTAGTAAAGAACGAAGTAGAAGACGAAGAAAATGATAATACAAAGGTATGTAGTTTTTTTTAATTCTGAAGCAATCATTTACAAAAATCATACCGATATTTACTGGGACCTTGCAATATAAATGAAATTTATATATTTACATATTCTTCCTTCCTCGTTTCATTAATGCTTTTGACGACAAAGCTGGTCATGCTCATGCTAGTAATGGTACAAGTAAATGAAAAGGTTCAAGTTCTCACATTTAAATTTCACTAACTTTCCTTGTTGGCCATAATTAAATTATAATTATTATTTACCAAGATTTTGTTGCATATTTTTTTGGTATTTACAATTCATTTCACTTTTCATTCTGAGCTACAAAAATTTACGAAATAAAGCACTGTGGAAATGTAGCTGTAAGTACAAGTTAATAAGATTTTTGAATGGATAAGCTGCAATTCGAACAGAAAATGTATAGATAGTTAAAAATATTGCACATTTCTTTGCAGCCTGGTTTCTCGGTTATGACGTTACACTCATCTTTTCCGGGGACTAAAGAGTGGAACGTTGTTTACACCGTAATCAAGATAAACAATGGGCAAAGCGACTTTAAAGTTTACCATTCACACTATCCAGACGGGCTGATGAAAGTGGCCATCGACTTCGAACGTCGAATTATATCGCTGGATGCTGGACAAGGCGAAGTATACATTCTCCAACCTCCCGAACGGATTATTAATTGTGTCTGCGATTACACGCGGATTCATCACTGGCTGTATGTGAAAACTACTCGCCAAAAATCAATTGTTATTCAATATGATGACACGGCCAATGCTATTCGAGCATACAGCATGATGACAGCACTCAAGGAATCATTTTAGCATTTTGAGGGAGGAGTTAGATTTTTCTAGATTTTTCTACAATGTCAAATTTTTCACTGATTGAAACAACTTATTTTGTAACCTTTCTCAGAAGGCGGATCGCCAATGTATAGATAATCAAAATTATGGAACGTTCAAATTTTGGTGACAAAATCTTTCTCTATTTACATATGGCTTGATAATTAATAATGGAAATTCGAAATATTGACAAATAAAGCAAACTTTTTCCTCGTTTTGATACTAAAACTCCGTGTAATAAAAATTATTTCAAATTTTGAAATGCACACATGAATAAATAGTTCAAAATGCTAGTATTTAAGTATTTTTGTATAAGTATTACTGTACCTTTTTTATAAGGATAAACTCATTGAAATTGAACTCATATCATCAAAATGTATGCATGTTTCGGATTTGTTTTGTATAATTTAATCCATTCACGGAAATTGGACAGAATTTCCAATTTGTTCAATTTCAGATGTTGTTACAATTTTTCATCAATCTACAAATTACGTGTGCCAAGAAAATTTGGAAAGCAACAAATTCTGTGGGCGTTGGTCTTCCGGTGGGCGCTTGGTAGGTCAGAGGTGAGTGCAGTCGGGACGGACTGGGATGAATGTTCCGGAAGGTCACCACACAGTTTGGAGGCGTAAGGCCGTATGTGCGATCGGCAGCCCCACTTATGATGTGAGATACACGAAAGTTAATGTTTTATCGGAATTTAGCACTCGAAATAAGTCACCGAAATGTAATACGCGTCCCCCGAGAGTTATAGTTTTTACAGAGCAACTGGTTATCAATTTATTTTACGTAGCCGGAGGATTTTACATTTATGTATCAAGAAACCAAAATATATTTAGAGGTTGTGGAAACTGTAGAATTATGGGGGACTTTAGGATGGCAGTGGTGGAGAGAGGAGATACGTCTTGGTAGACACCGGAACTCCGTCTGCCAGGATTCTTGGACAGAAGACAGTATATGTCCTTGTTGAAGGAGACGATGTCCTTCAGTCGATGTATGGATAATTTGGAGTGAGTGGCCGGTCGAGACATCAATGTATGAATATGGAGACGAGGAAGAGATAGGAGGGGAGGATGCATATGATATGCATAGTTCCCTCAGGACCCCCCGGGAAAGTAGCGGTAGTCCCTACCGTGGAGTGGGGCCAAAGTTGAGAGGAACGGGGCGAAAAAATCGGACGTGTCCATGTGGAGTTGTCGTCTTGGGGCGGCTGGATGGCCAGTGTCACCATCGTGGTAGATAGGGATGCGGGGAAGATTGTGTTGTCGGAGTCGTCGTCATCCGACTTGAGGAGATCGTCCTCTTCTTGGGGTGGGAGTTAGCTGTAAAAATTAAACAAGATTGGACGACCAAATTAATATGTATTATGGTCAAAATATAAAAAATTGTAGGGGTTAGTAATTTTCACACAGATTTTTCGTCTCTTCGGCAGTTTGTTTGTAAAATTGACATGTACGGAAAAAAAAGTAAAAAAAATTCGGCATATCTGTGTGACAAGATTATTATGTATACACACCAAAATTTTCGGGAATGATTTAAGAATTGACTCTTTGAGTGAAAATACGTGTGTATACTTGCAAACACATTTTGTGTGTATAAAAATTGGAAAGTTAGTCTGTGTAGATAAAAAGTAGTGTGTGTGTTAAAAAATTGAGGAGTAAAATACAATACTTTTTGTGGTATTGAGTAAAAAATTAAGGTAAAATCTGGGATTTTACAGTCAGAAAATTAAAAAACAACAAAATTAACAGAAATTGGTTTAAAATTGAAAAACAAGTCAATAATAAAAATATAGGAAGTTTTTTATGTAAAAATTCGGCAAAATTTCGGCTTTTTTCATTTTTAACGTCTAAAATCGCTTGGAGAGTAGCGAGATCGAGGATAACGCGTTCGTGTGCTACGACGCAAAATTGTTTGTTCTAGCTCAGATTCGGCTTCAGAATCATCATCAGAAGAATTGGGGACAAAACCTATCATCGAATCTTCGTTACGTGGGGTACCACTAACGACAGTAACGCTGGGCGAAGTACTATAAACAGAAAAAGCAGATTCAAGTGAAGAAGAACCTGAACTACATGTATGAAAATATTGGGAATTTTGTGAATTCGACTTCTCTGAACTACGGGCATCATCATCAATATCCATTGGGGGGTTAGAGTTGTGGGAATTTGTGTGTGAAGAAGGTCGGGAACTCTGTCTCGAAGGTGGCGGGACTCCAACGGAAGAGTTTGACCTGTTTGTGGCTCGAAAAATAGGTTTCTTAGTTAATCTATAATTGCTTTTAGAGTGTACATTCCAGTCAATAGAAAATTCAAAGTCATCAACCGAATCGACAGACTCGTAGTCGTCTTGGTCATCTGACTCGTATTCTGAGATGTCACCCCTGTACTGTTCATGTGGGTAAGGTTTAAGGTCAGTACCCTGAACTACTATAATTGGGCAGTCATAATCAGGGTTTTCTTTCCGTAGGTCTTTTAACCCATATTCTGTATCATGTTTGTTGATTACCCGAAAAGGACCTATCCATTTCATTGTCATACGGGATAATGTGATATCATAGTCTCCTATTTTAAATTTTGTCGGCTTATGGCTCGACTCAGAGGCTATCGACATAACGGCAATCGGCATAAATTGTTCGTCATCAACTTTTAAAAATGGACTGATTACTTGAGAAGGTAAAACGGGATCGTAACCGTAAACTAATTTGAAAGGAGGAATTTTTGTAACTGAATCCGGAACAATATTCTCGGCATACGCGGTAGCTGGAATTACTCTGTCCCACGTATTTGGTGATTTACTCACAAATCTTTTAATAGATGTCTCAATACTAGCAATTTTCTGTCGGTTTGTAGTTAGATTCATCGTTGCGGGAACAACCCAGTCAAAGTTAATACCTTTCTGGTTGCAAAATAATTTAAATTTGTCAGAATCAAACACGTCGTTAGGTTTACAAATAATTTCAAGAGGACAAGAATGTCTGGAAAATACCTGTTTTTCCACAAAGGAGCGTATAGACTGCATATCAGAATTCTTTGCAGGCCATACTTCTACATACGAAGAGGGGATATCAAGAGCAATAAAAACATACTTATTTTGATGTGGCAAGGACGAAGGAAAAGGTCCGAGACACTGTAGAATAGTTCTTTGGAAAGGAATTTGGGGAGGGTGGGGGGGTAAAATTACTGCAGGAGTTACAATTTTCGGAGTTTTGATAATTAGTGGAGGATCAGTGTTAGTACTAGTATCCGTAGTGAGATTCGGGTGGGTATCAGTTTGTTGTGACTTAGTTTCAAGGATTACAGAGGAAATTGGGATCGGAGTTTCAATAATTTCAGGGGGGTCAGTGTTAATACTAGCGTCAGTAGTGTGGTTAGGTTGGGGATCAGTTTGCTGTGACTTACTTTCAAGGATTATTGCGAAAATTGGGACAGTAGGAATTTTTGGGGGTTCAGGAAAATTTGGTGGTACTGCGGCAACAACAGGTTGTTTCTTACTTACTTTCTTGGGGGGAGGAACAGGAATCTTTGCAGGAATTTCTTGAGTTTCAGGAACTTTTTCAGCTTCCAAATTTATTTGTGTAGGTTGAGGGGGAGGTTGAGGTATATTAGGATAATTGGTATTAACCATTGAGGGGTGAAGAGAAACAGGAATATTTTGTTGCCAATTGTAACTCTCTTTTCCTAATATTAATTGTAACGTCGTACGCGTACATAAAATCTGTACCAAAAACTAAATCATGGAAAAGATTCGGACAAATAAAAAATTTCCATAAAAATTGTCGGCCTTGAATATTGATTATAATTTCTGCACTTGAATTAATATAATAAACTTCATCATTTTTAACTGAAACTTTAATTCGAAACGGAATACACGGAGTAATCCGGTGAACTGAAACAGGAGTCAATAATTTTAAAATTTCTGGATTAATTGCGGAAATACCTGCACCAGTATCATGTAAACCTATTCTTACAATATTTTCAATTCGTACTGCTGTGTGCATTTGTATCGGCTCATTCGGCTTATCGTCATAACGTCTGGGAAATTTTTGGCCTAAATGATAAGTACAAGGAACTGAGAGTACAGTGGCTCCAGTAGAAGAAACACTCTTTTGTTTAATTTTCAAATCGACTAAATATTTAATATCGGCATGTGTGACATACGGCTTATTGAAATTAGGAGGAGGAGATTTGGATAATGGGGGGAAATGATGAGGAGAAAGTCGAGGCTGGTTAGTATTATTCGGATAATTTTTATAAGAATTGTTATAAGCAGTTGTGTTATTAGAACGTCGATAATTTACAAATTTATTATTATTATTGACAAAAGGAGCTAATTTCGCCCGAGGGACCCGCGTACCCAGGCGCATTAGTTTTCCGAATGATTATTAGAATCATCCCGAATTCCCTGGATTTGTGGATTAGGAGGAAGATTATGTACAGTATTGTTGTGTCTTGGCTGTCGCCAATTGTTGTCGTGATTTCGAAATTGTCCATTATTAAAATTGCGATTTTGATTAAAATTGTGTTGATTGTTAAAACGTTGATTATTAAAATGTGGATTATTAAAAGGTTGTCGTTGATTAAAATTTACTTGAGGTCTTGGAATAAAATTGTGTCGAGGATTAAAATTGTTGTGTTGTTGTCGTGGTGGGTTAAAATTCGGATTGTTAAATTGTCTAGGATTGTTGTGTTTATGTTGTTGAATAAATTGATTCAATTTGTGGCATTGTTCAGTTGTGTGTGTATGTGTACCATGAAGGGCACAAGGAAGGACAGTGGGGGGTTGTGGGGTAGGTTGAGAATTTTTCGGAGCTTGGTGTTTCTGAACACTAGCCAGAATAACACTGTCAGCTTCAGAAGAAAAAGCTTTAGGAATTGTTAAACTGTGTCGACCCAATAATTCGTCAATTTTTCGTAATTGTTCTAAGAAAGTGTGTGCATCTGCACACTGAGAAGAAGTAAATTGTAATTGAAGTTTAATTGGAAGTCCCTTAATTAATTGTTCAACAATTTTACTGTCCGTCATATTAGGATCAATATTGCGTAAAATACTCAATTTAGAAGTTACATATTCTTGTGGATTAGATTTCTCAGCATAAACTAAAGCTTTGTTCGCTTGCTT